TACTCGCTCCCCTTCCGTGCCCTCTTTCGCCCTGTTCTCCGCTGTACTCCTTGTGCTGACCATGTTAACTGAAAAGTTCTTCTTCGTTATCTTTGGGCCCGTTGATGTCGTTCCGCGCAGTGATGAATTATATTTCGTGTTTGATCCACTTGACCTTTTTTCGAGCACCGGTACCCTACTCCGCCTCATTATTTCTATTTACAACTGCTTTTATTTACAATTTTATTATATACACGATTCTATTCTAAGAATAAAAAAAAATATTTTTTTGTGGTAGCAAATTCTGTACAACGTGTTAAAAACCTTATCCAATTCTCTTTCTAAAACCTCCGAAAAACTTTCCTTAATTTGGTCTTAACCGTACCTATTTCGATTTGTCTTATTCTGTCTTAAGACACACTTGTTGTGATTCTACTTCAATTTTTATACCGTCCCAAGACTATTCGTCACTATCACAGTACTCTCCGCTAGTGTCCTAAGACCCTTGTACCAAGACTACTGTCCCAAGACTAGTGTCCCAAGGCTAGTGTCCCAAGACTACTGTCCCAAGACTACTGTCCCAAGACTAGTGTCCCAAGGGTAGTGTCCCAAGACCAGTGTCCCAAGGCTAGTGTCCCAAGACTAGTGTCCCAAGGCTAGTGTCCCAAGACTACTGTCCCAAGACTAGTGTCCCAAGGGTAGTGTCCCAAGACCAGTGTCCCAAGGCTGGTGTCCCAAGACTACTGTCCCAAGGCTAGTGTCCCAAGACTACTGTCCCAAGACCAGTGTCCCAAGACCAGTGTCCCAAGGCTAGTGTCCCAAGACTAGTGTCCCAAGACCCTTGTCCCAAGACCACTGTCCCAAGACCACTGTCCCAAGACCCTGTCCCAAGACCACTGTCCCAAGACCCTGTCCCAAGACCACTGTCCCAAGACCCTGTCCCAAGACCCTGTCCCAAGACCACTGTCCCAAGACCCTGTCCCAAGACCCTGTCCCAAGACCCTTGTCCCAAGACCACTGTCCCAAGACCCCGTCCCAAGACCACTGTCCCAAGACCCTGTCCCAAGACCACTGTCCCAAGACCCTGTCCCAAGACCACTGTCCCAAGACCCTGTCCCAAGACCACTGTCCCAAGACCCTGTCCCAAGACCACTGTCCCAAGACTGCTCTGTCCCAAGACTTCTTCGGTACTGTCCCAAGACTCGTCACGGAGTGTCTTCCTCGTTGTAGGGTCTTCTTGAATCACCGTACCTTGTACCACCACTCAAGCTCTAGTAAAATTTTCCCAAAAACCCTCTCTTAAAAGCCAAATGCTGACCCCCCTCTTCTTTTTGGTTGTTTCTATTTCAATGTAGGTGCGCAGGTATCTTGTGATCACCTGTTCGTATAAAACCAAACACAAATCCTCACTAAAATGCAACAAAAATCTAAGTAAGAAAAATAATAAAAACAGAAAAATGAGCCCACCTGAAATTCAAAGGTGACCAATGTCTACCTTTCGTCGAAAAAAATGTCTGGTACCTAATTGCCACGCGTTTTCCTCCCCCCACTAGTGATCTTATGGGGTTTCACAAAAGCTGTTTATATCCGGTCCCCCCTACCAAACCAACCAGCGTACCAGTCTTAACTCGAGTTGAATTTTGGATCTCCACCTAATATTACCAACGCGTGTTAATTTCTAATGTAACTAAGTCAACGATGTCGACTAATTAGTTACTCTAATTTCCCCCTTTTTGCAATTTACAACCGCCAACCTCTAACTTAACCAGTCCCCCTTCTAACCTCCCCCCTTTCTAGCCCCCCTTCTTAAGCCTAAAAATTACTTTAAGCGCCGGGTGCTAAACCTCTCAAGAGAAAACCGTAGACCTGTTTCCAGGCCTGCTCAAGTAAAAACGTTCCTCAAAACTGGGGGATTTCGCTTATCCAATTTTACACTTATCTCCTATAATGTAATGTGGATTCTAACGATACCCGTTCTGCCCAACTTGAGAACTCGAGAATTGCCAAATCCTTCTTGGCTGCTTTCCCACTCGACTGGTCACCTGTTCCAGTCCAGTCTCCTATTGGTTCAGCTCAAGTGTCCCTGAACCACTTTCCCACTCGGCTGGTCACCTCTTCCAGTGAAGTCTCCTATTGGTTCAGCTCAAGTGTCCCTGAACCACTTTCCCACTCGGCTGGTCACCTCTTCCAGTCAAGTCTCCTATTGGTCCAGCTAAGTTCCAAGCTATCTGAAAACCCTTGACGACGCCCCACTTCGGGCACTTTATTCAGTTTACTGGTTTAAATTGCTAGGTTGATCGAAACGATCGAACTTGTAAAACAGTATGGGTATACTATTTAATTAATATAAAGGTTTGATCCAACTAATCTGGTGTCAAAGTCACTGTCTTTTTTCGTTTTATGGTTTTTGTTCCTTTTTCTATTCTTTTTTGGTTTTTGTTTTGCTTTTTGTCTTTTTGCTCGTGTTTTTGTCTCCCTAGTTGCCCCCCTTTACTCGGTTAGCTAAGCCTCGTTCGGAGAGCGTAACAGGAAATTTTCTCGAGTTTTCTTAAAAAGCTATCACGGTACAACCGGAAGGTTTGCACGTTCCTGTCGAACCGTACCGCCGGTACTCTAGAATGGGCATTCAGCCCGAAGCTGTCTCAAGTGGGTTCGACTCCGTAGTCTTGATGTCGTAAACACCCAGGAGCGCCATAAAAACACTATGTAACATTCGTCTACTGCAGTCACACATGAGGCTTAAGAAAAATAGGCCCTATAACCACTGGCTCAAGGGTCAGGGACACTATCTCTTGTGTTTTTCTACCTCAAGAACGGTCGGAGCCAGTTCGGTTCGCTTGTGACATGAGACTACGACCCGTTACAGCTTAAAGGCTACTACTAAAATATCCCCCCACTCTAGAATTAGAAACGTCCCCATACTTAGGTCTCTAGATACCCAAAATACATGAACGCCGTTAAAAACCGGGTTGGAACAATCCGTTAAGTTACTTTTTATTAGACAGTGGAACTTTGATCCATTTCAGATGGATCAACCTAAAACTCGCCTTACCTCAACATAACAATTATAAAACACACTCTAGGAATTTTAAATTAAGTACTCACATCGTAGCACGCTCAAGAACCAGGAAGTAAATAAGTCGGTAAGCAACTCAAGAATTAATAAAGTAACTAAAATGAGTTTAATGTCAGTCAGTTTTAACAACAAGAACAAGTTTTTACTCTAGACTGCAAGTTCTCGTGAACCATTGGGACACTCTAGCTGTCCACCTTTCCACCGAAGGTTCACTCTGGTCCAGTCAATAATAGTATTCCAATCGTAATAATCCAACTCGTGGGAACGCTCTCGTCTCTGTTTCAGATGGGACAGCTCTACTCTAGGTTATTATTGCTTTTGAAATTGCGAATAGCAATTTCCCACCGATTTTTCTAGCAACTTTCCCGCGATTGTTACTCAATTGTTCTGATATTGTTCTAACTTCTTTTTCTGATTTTCAGTTCTCGCGAGAAAATCGTGCATGACAGGTTCCATTCGAAATTTTGAAAAATTAAATTTCACTCCGAAATCAAGTGTTTTTTGCTCCTCTCAAGGTCAAACTTCCAAATATGACCGACTGGCACATACATATCGACGGAAAATAAAGTTAGGTTCTAAAAAGTTTGGCTAGCGTCTAAAAAAAGCTCTACATATTTTTCACCGTCTCTACCAAAGCCAGTTCTTTTGGTGGTCTTCCTAACATCGAGTCGACAAAAACGTTACTGCTCTCGGCTTCGGTCAAAACACTCAGATTAACTTAAATACATGCAAAATTAGTGAGCTCATGGCTGTGTCTCAGTATCCCCAGACCACGAGGTCACTCCTAAAAACAGGGCTACTACTATTTATTATAATACTATTGTTTTTGTTCAGCAGATAAAAATCATCATCTCCATCGAAGATGGATCAACCCTTTCCCTCAACTCCTAGCTTCTCATAATCTGAAAATGAATCTGGATGTTAATTAAATTCAATTCAGGACATGACCAGGAAGCTTAAAGTTTATATAAAAACAGTTTGAGTCTTGGGCCCGAGACCACTCCGGATTCTGGAATCCGGGGAAATAACGTTCATGTGAATTGCTCAGTAACAATTGTAGCGACACAATCGTTACAACTCGGAGCGGTTTCTGACAAGTTCCAATTCTATCTGTCGTTGTTTCTTCGTAGTTGTTTCTACTGCAACTATTGTTGTTCTGATTTTCGGGCCACACTTCAAAGGGTTTTGAAGTCAGTCACTACATTTTGCAAATTCAATTTCGCTTCTCTTATTTCTTCTAAATCTTTAATGCTCCGCCGTAATACTTTTATTTTAGATTTTCAAAATGAAAAAAAAACGAGAGACTTTTTCTTGATTTTAATGTTAGTGTCTCTCTTTATCCCTCATCATCTGCCAAATAGGACGCTTAAACTGTTTTCGGGAAAATTGATTTTTTTTTATGATTTCAAAGATTTGCAGTGATAGCTGTGCTCGGATCTTTCCGTGGTGCGTGCACAGAAAGTAGCATAGTTTTGTAAGAAATGTTTTTGTACCCTGTGGGAAATGGTGATTTTCTATTATCGGATTCAGTATCCCAAATTACGGTGCTAGGCATATAAGCAGACCGGTTTTTTAAGCAGACCAATCTTCAAACGCGGCGTTGGCGATAAGCGACCCCTTGCTCCGCTGCGCTTCCATTGGGCGCGAAGGTCATTGTGCGCGTAAATATTTGTTTTGTCGCTGTTTAGACTATTGTGTTTTTGAAGTTAATAGTTGTTTTGACAAATCGTGAGATGATTGTTGATTGGGGAATCTTGACCCCAGACTGAGCGTCTTTTTGATCATGCATCACTTCATTACGTTTTGATCTGCTAAAAGACTCATTTTTAATTTTTGTGCTGAAAGATTGGTCTGATAAACGATCTGTCCCCCCGAATTACGACTTCAATTTTCTCGATTTTCAAATCAATATTTAACGGTCTATGTAATTCAAGATAACATGTCTGACGCTTTTAATGCTATTTCAGTTTCAGTTTTGAACTTAAAACTAAGAATGGGCGATAACAGAGTTGAATCGTTTGGTGAATGCCCGTTATGTCTTGATGCTTTCGAGCTGGACGATCAGAGTTTTTATCCATGTCCATGTGAATACCAGATTTGCCGTTTCTGCTGGCACAGAATTAAGAGTGACGAAAATGGCCTTTGCCCCGCGTGTAGAAAGCCTTACAGTGAAATGCCGGCGCAATTCCAGCCATTATCGAAAGAGCAGCTGACAACAATGCGAATAGATAAGAAAAATAAGGCTTCAGAGAGAAAAATAAAGGTAGCGGAAAGTCGAAAACATCTAGCGGCTGTAAGGGTGGTGCAAAAATGCTTAGTTTTTGTTGTGGGGTTGTCATCTAGAATAGCGGATGGTGAAATGCTTAAAAAACCAGAGTACTTTGGAAGATTTGGTAAAATTCATAAATGCGTAGTGAACAACAACACTAATTATGCTGGATCGACTGGACATAGCGCTAGTGCGTACATCACTTTCTATAAATCAGATGATGCGCTACGAGCTGTGCAGCAAACGAACAATACACAAATTGATGGTAGAACACTAAAAGCTTCTCTCGGAACGACAAAATACTGTAGTCAGTTTTTAAAAGCAATGACATGCAACAAACCAGATTGCATGTACCTGCATGAGCTAGGCGATGAAAGAGCCAGCTTCACGAAGGAAGACATGCAACAAGGCAAGCATCAAGAGTATGAACAGGAATTGCACGATGAGTTTTATAGAAAGGAGGCTGAAGGTAATTTGGAGGCACAAATGGACAGGTACAAGACCGTGTTCACTTTGAGATCGGAGGCGAACGGGCATGCACCTTACCCCTTGAAAGTAGATGCAGAATTGCCGCCAAGTTCTATTAATGGGCCGCAAATGAATGGGGGATCTAATCGCACAACGCCCTCTCCCTCTAACGCATGGGGTGATGCAAATCATCAAAATAGTCTTCACTCGCCGCTCGAAATAAGCGGTAAAACTAAACCCGAGGAGACCAGTGGAGCGTCCCAGGGTTTCTCAATTTTCTCTAATTTGGAGTCATCTCTGGACCGCGGCAATCAGTTCAAACCCCATGAGGTGAAATCAGATCCTTTCACATGCGTGACTCAAAGCAGTGGTACGCCGTGGGAAGCTGCAGTGTTTTCCGGTGAAACATACGGAGATCCAGCTAGGAGATTCCTTAGCGAGCCTGCTACATCAGCAAATCATAGGTTCGATCAGCCGTACGAAAATGGGATACCACAGCTGCTAAATATTCTAGATAACAGAGCACCGGACGATGACCTAGAATTTGACCCAATAGAAGAATGTCAGAAAGGTTTAGAAGAGTTGATGCAAAAAGAAAGACTTCTCAGTTGTGTCAACCTGTCTGAATCGTTTCCGCCCTCAACAGCTGTTCCTTATGGTGCGTCAAATCAGAATAGTTTATCTCACAGCTTCAATGGTTTCCATTCGTTAAATTCACAGCCTGCTGAACATCAAATGGGTCCTGCATTGCACCAGCAACCATTCGATCAGCAGCAACAGTTGAGAGCACTTCTTCCAAATGTGACCATCCACTTCCAGAGTGCTCTGCCGAACAGTATTCACAATGGACCCCAGATGTCCTCGGCACCTAATTCAGGGGCTCCCCACACTTGGCAAAATGCTGCCTGGAACAACAATACATCGAATCAGTACAACATCAGCTCAGAAGATCCAGCAATTATATCCACGAGGAAGTCGCATAATCACTTAAGTTATTGGGAAAATAACAACTACCAGAAGCAGTTATCAGCTGGAAGCCAGTTCAATGAGCCGAGTGCAGTAGAAGCTCCTCAATCTCAGGACCCTGCCGATGCCTTCAATGGTCCAAACAAAAAGACAAGTTTGTCTAAGAACAGTCGTCAGTTGTTCACCAACTGGAACACCAAAGACTGCCCAGCTCCTACATCGCCACACTCCGCACCCCCAGGATTCAAATCAGACATGAACTAAATTATTGGAAATAAAAAATTTTGTTTGCGAAAGTTCAGAAGTTAAAAGATTACCACATCCATCTCTTTTATGTTCAGACAGCTACTCAGAGTGATTGATGCAGAATGATTTGATCATTTATGAGTTATTCAACAAAATTCTTTTTGCGAAAAAAAGCTATCAATGATGTTGAAAGAATGAAATATTCGAATTTCCAAAATAACACAGCAAATTCTGCAGGCTGCAAAAAAGGAAAGAAAAAGAACAAATAGGGTTCAGGCATAAAGTATGACCACTGAGTCTTCCGTTGGTCGAATAATAAGTGTAACCTTGAACAAGAATAGCACTGAAAGATCAGACCATAAAAAGAAAACTTTTTTAACACTATGTATTTTGTTCGTCTGGCTACAAGTGGATCGGAACTACAAACTTTATAGCATCAAACACAGCGCGGTGTTTACAAATTGGTTCAAGTTAAATACTAGTAAGTTTTAAATGAAGCACTAGTGAAAAGTCTCAGTCTCATATTATCGGATTCGTGTTTCATTTCATTATGTCGGGTGAGTTGGCGATTTTGTTTTTGGAAATGCTTACTGCTCTAGCTGATGCAGCAATTTACTTGAAGATTTTTATTATTATATTATTATTAAAGTTCTTAACCACGTTTTACAAAGCTCAAAAGTGGACGGTGGCTAAGTATAAAAATAGTCGGTGAACAATTGAGTTTTCAAAAGTTTCTTGAAATCGATCCAACTAACACTGGTGGGTAACTTGTCCATAAAACAGCAGCATGGCAAGAAAACATCCGACTGCCGAATGTATTTCTGATAAAAGGCTGTACAAAATTGAGAAAACCACTTCTTCTATAGGAATGAGAATAATCTTTGTAAAATAGATCTGACAGATAGTTGGGAACTCTGTCCGCATTAAATATACGATACATGAACATAAGTACTTTGAATTTTATACGCGCTCCAACTGGGAGCCAGTGCAAATAAGGCTCTGTATACCACTTGCTGTGCTTTCATAGTCCCCGCTTCAACGTTGTCAATAGTAAAATAAAGTGTACTGTCATCTGCGTAAATGTGATAGTCAACATCAAATTCATTCAGAATATCACGCAACGGAATGAGATAAATAGAGAACAATAACGGCCCGAGTACAGAACCCTGTGGAACGCCTACTTTCAGTTTGATGTAATCAGAAAACACGCCATTGACAAAAACACGTTGCGTGCGGTCACTTAGGTACGACTTGATCCACGATAATGCTTTCTTTTTTACTCCGAGCCTATTCTCGAGTATGTCACACAGTTCCACTGTATCAAAGGCAGCACTCAAGTCGAGAGCGATAAGAACCACAGGCTTCTTCTTGTCAAGTGAACAGAGGACATCATTCGTTATGGGCAACAACGCAGTCTCTGTTGAATGAAAGACTCTAAGCAGACTGAAAAGGATCGAAAGCATAGTTACTTTCCCAAAAAGTTGTGAAACGCTTAGCCACAAGCTTCTCCAAAACTTTCGCAAAAAATGAATGTTGGTGATGGTTCTATAATTCTTAAAACTTCAGGGTCAGCATTGGTTTTCTTAAGTAGTGGGATGACTGTACCAGTTTTCAAACCTTTCGGATAAGTACCAGAAGTAAAAGAAAGGTTGAATAGGTAAAGCAGTATCGGCTAGAGAACTGATTTCATTGACTTAAGAAGCTTCGTTGGTACCGCCTGAAGTGGACACGACGTGTTTGTGACATCGTCGAAAGCTTTTGATATTTCCAAGTCTGAGACGATTGGTAAAACATCAAGCTAAAGCTCTTGCACTGGATGGTTGAAAAGAACTGAAGTGGCAGGATTTCCTTCAACAAGATTGTCTACTTTCGACACAAAAAACTGGTTTTAAGTATTCGCCAGAGACTTTTCATCGAAACCGGTGGGTAGCAAAGAAGCTTTTTTGCCACAAAGGATGTCAAGTGCTTGATACTTTTTCTTGATGTCTGAGTTCTGCATCATGCTTTTCTAAAAAGAGTTTTTGTTTATCAAGTAACATAGTGTTCATTTCCATCGACTTAGCGCGAAACTCGTCTAGGCTAGTTTCGGAAAATATTTGCGATATTGTCGCTCCGCTCTTCTTCTTTCCTTTTTTGCGGTTCTCAGTTCATCATCGAAGTAGGGGCATGTGTGCTGTGAAAAGAAGCCCTTTTTCTCGGGAGCCAAGAAGTCGGCAACTTCATTTAAACAAGTAAAAAAGGTCCAAAATGAATCGCAGCAATTACCGGCATACGCCATTTTTTCGTTGATCAGAAGGTTGAATGTATTGCTCATACTTTCCAATGTAATGTTCTTGCACTGCCTATAAACAACTGTTTTATTTGAGACTGAAGTTTGAGTATCCGTGGGGTAATTAAAATTAATGCAATTGTGATCGCTTGCAATTTCATCATCAACAAAAATATTCGCAGGTGTATAAGTTGAAATAATCAAATCCAATCTATGACCGGATACATGAGTTGGTTCATGTATGTGCTGTTCAAGGCCGGCTTCAGAAATAACAGAGAAAAGTCGTGATGCTCTCGAATCCGCTTCAAGCTCGGCGAGGAAGTTGAAGTCTCCTAAGCATAAAATGTTCGTAAAATTCGAAGCATATTTGACTAGTACTTCCGCGAATTCTTCAACGAAGACACTAAAATTTGTCGCAGGAGGGACGATACACAAGTATTAAAAGTAGCGAGGTCGTTTGAAGAGACATGACCAAGTACTCCCAATTATCATTTGTCATGCTCTCAAGGAGCTTGACATCAACTGACTGTTTGTGAAGTATTCCGACACCGCCCCCTCGTTTATCCTCGCGGGAACAGCTGATGAACTTATATTCTTCTGGGCCTGCAAACGGGAAAGGTAGTTTTTCAACTATTCTCTAGCTTCATCATTTAACCGAAAGGTTTTTATGAGATCATTTTCTGGCCAAAAATCAGCACTTTGGATTTTGTCCTTCATCGTGTTTTCAAAAAGACAGCGGAAAAATTTCACCTTTGATTCTGGTTCGGACACCACGCGAACTTCAACCGGCTTTGCCCCTTGATTGGAGCAATATTCGATCAAGTCCTCAGGAGAAGCAGAGAGAGCAAAGCGTGTAGCAAAGATATTCCATCTAGGTGGTGGTGATGGTGGCTTCGGTACACCGAACAGAGTACTCGAACCATCATTTTTCTTCGTTCCATTCATGAGACCAGATTCTCTGTTGGCTATTCTTTGTTTGCTGTAGTCATCTTCTCTCAGTCTCTTCGCTGCCTCTGTTCATAGAAGTTGTGCTGCCATGTCGCAACCTGCGAATGGCTCCTTGTTCGGCGGCTGTCCAGATCCAGCGTTTCCAGCAAGCAGTGATGCATACGTCAAGTTGATCGGTTATTGTTGTACTTGTGTAGACGTGTTATCGCTGAGATCCTTCACAAGTTTCCTCAGTGTGTCGATAGATTCGGTTTCTTTTCGATTGAACATAATTGATCCGCCATTTTGTCTGTCTTCCTCTCGGGTTTGCCAGTTTCGTGGCATTCGGGACATACCCATGTGATCGTACCGTACCATAAATAGACGAGGTATTCATTGATACACCCACACAAGACAGATGTACAGCTTTCAGCGAGCAAACAAAGCACTCAGTAAGAACTGAGGTTGAATCCCGCTCCCAACAAATGCCACAACAAGTTGGCGCTCTCGTAAGGACAGGTAATTCTGAAGTAAGTGAGAAAGGCATCAATCAGATGTTAATCAACCGAGTACAAGGCTAATTTAAGCAGGTATTCAGTTAACTTTTCAAACCGATTGAAGAATATCAATTAAACCAGAAGGTGTGGTAACCGAATATAAAGCAAAAGGAAATAACGAATACTTTTTTTTGTTCGCGGAAGAAATTCAAGGAATAATCCGAGGGATGTCTCAGTGATACGAACCCCGGACCTATGGCACGTCAGGCCCACGTACTAACCACCAGGCTAAGTGTCCTGTATATGAGAGAGAACCAAGTAGGATGTAAACAGCAAATAACATCAGATATAATCGGACTCCACCGGTGGGATTGTTGTTTGATCTCTGTTCTCGATCCCGATTACAAGATACTTGGGTAACACACAGGAGGGGTCGGTCAGGATAAATTAAAGGTTATTCGCATTTCATTATACTATCTTAAGTTATTTAATAAGTTTATCACAACAATTAGGCTAAAAGTTTGAGTTAGGCTTTGTTGTGATGATGATAGGTTGCGAACTAATTTTTATTCCAACTGACAACGGAAGGATTGAGTATTTGTTATGTCTATTTTTTCTGAAAAGTTTGACTTTTCAACCAACAATTTTAGCCCAATGACATGGAAAACATTTAACCCTCGTCCTAGGCCTAAAAGTGTTATTTTTTCTACACAAAAGTTGAATTTAGATTCAACAGAAAAAGTGCATAGATAAACAATGATAGCCGGTCGCTGTACAAGTTTTTTCTTTTTTTTTATGTAACTATTTTTTCGTTGAAAGTTCCGTGATTGCGAGTATCGTATGCTATATTAAATTAAATTAAGAAATACCGCGTAATTGTTTTGTTTCATTAAAATTGATTCTTTCAATAGTTCGGCTGGTATTAATGGCAGCAAATGTGAAAAGCTAGCAAAAGCTACATTGTAATTATAACCACTTTTTAGCTACTTTTTCCAAATACTTCAGGTGACGCATTTACAGCAGATATTTTCGGATAGTCGTGAAGGTAGTCATAGTTGGCAAGATGCGGTGCAATTATGTAAGCGGGGACTATGAGAAGACGGCGGCTAATTTGGCTGTTACCCGATGATTGCTTAGGCGCGTAGTTTCCAATACATTCAGTTTTTCTTGCATTATGCAGTTAAATGCACAAATTCACCGAAGAACAGCCTCAATTCCAATTGCAGGATCTCTATCTAGTTCAGCCACTTTATTTTTCATTAGGAATAGCTTTTCAAGCTCTATAACTATTAGAGATTTCATTTGTAAGTTTAAAAGCCTGTCTCGAGTCTCCTTTTTATTATTCACTCTCAAATTTGGTTTTTCGCGGTTTGACTATTGAT